CTCTTTTTCAACAGCAGCCCAGACAACCCACAGAGTTTAAAGAAACAAAATACTATTTTCCTTGAAGCAGTTTAAGACTTGACTGTTAAATCTAATCAGGAATTTTATGCCCATCAAATGGTCTTTCATAATCTTTATTTACACTTTTAGAAGAGTCTCCCAGAAATATCCCAACTGAAGTATTATCTATCTCAGAGGTTTGCTGTGGATTTTGCCCAATGGTGAAGTTAAAACAATAACCTAGTGCTTAACTGCTCTGAGCTGCAGCGTCTGGTCTATTTAATGAGCTGACTCGCTGGCTCCTAATTATATGTACCGTTTCCTTGATTTTAAATGAAAATAGGAATTCCTTCCATACCTATAGGTAACTCAGATTATCATTTTTTAAAATATATATTTAATTTAGGGACGTCCAAAAGCTCCTTCAGAACCTCTGATCGTAATAAATCACGACTTTTTAAAACCGGACATGAAGGAGGACAGGATTTTGGGGGGAAGGAAAAAAAGGAACCTTAAGAAAGTTTAAGTCTGATGTTCATAGAAGTTGAATAAACATGGCATAGTCTTTGGGGAAATGGTGCCTTAGACTTTAAGTATTTAATGTCACTGTCGCTTTAAATCATATTAAGATGGAATAAAGTAATTAACATTAATAAATAAATCAATATTGTGCAATTAATGAGATATACACTCTACATTAATATAAAGGTTTTGCTCTCAAAGCCCCAATTTTTTTCAAAGGAGAGGGGGAGGATCCACAAAAGAGCCCATGTATATCTAAAAGACTATTCGTAATAAAATAGACGATGACATTACACTTTTCTGCCTTAATAAATGTTAGGAATAAAAACTCGAGATTAAAAAATGTCGCGGGGAAGTTGGATTTTCATTCCCTTTCCCTCCTCCGCCCTATTCCCGGGGACAGGATTCTGCCACTCCGGGCTTCATACAGATCTAACTGCAATTTGCAGTGTTCGTGACTCCTTTTTGAAGGGGGATGGGGTAGGGTAAGGAAATAGGATGGATATTTTGCAGATGCATGCATCAGTTCAAGAAATATTGCAAGAAATAGCTGGCTTTAAAATAGCCAGTAATCCAGGAAGTGTTTAGGAATATTACTTTAATGTAGTCGATTTCCGCATTTTATTGAGGAAGCCTTTCAAAATGTGAACGGTGTATTTTATCTCTCGTTGCTACATTGCAGAGCGATTGAAGAACCGTTTTATTTGGGGGTGGCGGGGCGGGAATTAACCACAATCTCCTGACCTTTCTTTTTTTAATAATGCAATTGTCACTGTGCCCTGCTTCCCGTCTGTCCTGGTTCAGAGAAAGAAGCAACTTCTTAGCTGACTGTTTCTATTCTTCGGGTTTTTTAAAAGCCATCCGGGTGCCTTTTTGGATTTCCGACTTACTGGGGCTGATAAAGCAAACCTCCTTTATGAGCCCGGAGCTGGTAAAGAGCACCTTCGCCTTTCTGGCGGGGTAGCCTCTATATTTGCAGCGTGTGAGCGCACAGCAAAGCGTCGCCCCTATTTCCGAAATATCCCCACACGGTTCCAACCTTCCCCTATTGTCTATCCATATCTCTTTGTGCCCAGACGTGCAAAGCTCAGGGTCTGCTTGCCGGGTCTGGGATTCTAGCTGCAAACCGGCCCAGACGCCCCCGTCTAGCCCCTGAGCTTGGGTCCTTCAAGTGCATGTTTATCTTTGTAGGGTTTCCTGGCTGACTTCGCCTTTCACCAGAAATCCGCGGATCCCTCCTCGCTCTCCCGCAGGACCAGCTCCACGGAAATTTGGCAAGAGCGGGCAGCCCTTATTTTTTGTTAAGCGCAGAGGCTCTTTCTAGCCCCCGCACCATCACGTTTACACGATGACTCCAAGGAGAACAAAGCAGCAGTCCAATCAACTAATTATTTGATCGACAGCATCTCTGCCTGCAGTGCCACTTCCATTCCTCCCGGAGGGCCGGTGAAGGAGGGCAAAGCGCTAAGGAGAAGCCCAAGAGGTGCAGGGAGCAGGCGAGATCTGAAAGCCACCAACCCACCCACCCGTGGCCACGCGAGCTCCTCTGGCAACGGAGGTGCCCATCTCGCGGGCGGACTTCTTTAGGGGGGAGGCTATAGTCTGGCTTCTGTTAAAACGCGCTACCTTCCGCTCCTAAGCCCCCAGGCTTGCAGGAGCGGCTGGGCCGATCTACTCCAGACAGGAAGGCTATTTCTAGGAAACTGTTAACAATGAACTTCTGCAAAAACCCACCCTCGCAGACACAGTGCCACCAAATTCTTTGCCGGGGTCGGGTTTTTTAAAATGCGGAATAGGGCTGATCACTCATTACTTAGTCCGAGGGGACTGCTGCAAACAAGCAGTGACAAAGCTGCCCCTGCTCTTTGGTGGTAGCACGCAAAGTGTGCCTTTGGAGAAATGAAATAGAAATCCGCTGGAGGATCTCCAGGAAATGCAGCAGGTTAGCTTGAATTTCCAAACATCTGAATTCCTTTTGCCTGATCTCAATAGTATTTCTAAGGGGAGAGGTTTTTATACAGCAGTGCCCTGGCAAGGTGAGGTTCGGATATTAAAATAGCTGCCCTGCCGTTTCGTCCTGGTTTCCCCCTAAATAGGCACATCCAGAATCAAAAACCCGGCTTCTGCTCAAATAAAATGCATCTCTAAAACAATGCTATCTGCACGTTGACATCTCTTCAACAAAAGACTTGCAATAACCGTTTAAAGATGGGCTGTGCAAAGGAAACGCAGGTTTTGATAGGATTCTTGTTCTCCGGGTTTTAAGGCTTTACGAAAAGGAACAAACAGATTTTGGCTCTAGTGAACGAATTCTGACTTCGACGGATTTGCCCCCTTCGGATTATGGGATTTTTTAGAGCTCGGATGCAGTACAAAAGATTACGACCCCCCAAAATTCTGGTCATGTGGCATATTTCTCGAGCAAGTCACGGCTCTGGGTTATTTGTTTAATAAATCTTTTTGATGCTTTATTTTCTCATTTCGAAAGCCCTGAAATCTTATCTTTACTTATATATTAGATATTTTATGAGGAGTGGGATTATTATTAGGAGGAAAATATACTTGAGCATCAGGACTATTGAGCGCTTTACCGAAAGTGAGCGCGCCCTCCTGTGGAACTTGGCGACAAAGCACGAGGGAATTTATTTCTCTCTGGCTTTATTTTCATTTTGGATGCATCTAGGTACCTGAAAATAATGGATTTCTCTCTTTCTTTGTCTTCTGATTTTCTGTCTTTTGTCCTGTCTTTTTACCTTTCTTTCCTCCTTTTAAAATAGCACTTGCAAAAGGCTATGCCTGTAAAAATCCTCACCGGCTCTATTAGCCTGCTGGTTTTTGTGATCACATCTTTGTGATGCCTTAGTTTTACAGGAAAAAGTCATGGGCTCGGATCAGTTATTAAATGCACGGTACGGACATGCAACCGACAACAAAAATAGTCGGAGTCCCTGGAATAAGACCCGGAAGAGCTCTGAGAATTTAGTTATAATGTGAAGCCAAGAGTGTTTAGTGGTTGCCTACAACTGCGTGTATTTCTAGGATATTTCCTAATAAAATATATTTGTAACGGAGCTAGCTGGAAATATCATTTTTCCTTGAAAAAAACCTCTTGGTCTCTTACATTCCGCGGTGCTAATTCGAGCATTTTAGACCCTGGGGGTTTAATAAAGCAAGAAAAGGTTTTAATGTATTTTCTGGGCGCAAGAATCGGGCAGGAAAATCAGAACTGTATGGACATAACTAACCGATTAGATCGGGGAACTGTGCTAACTTGACGTGGCGGGAAATATTCACAATGACAGTTGGCATTGTCTTTGCGTGCTGCATCTGCTAATATGAATAGCTATGCAGTAAGAAGTGTGCGTGTGTGTGTGCGCGCGCGCGTGTGGTGTGTGTGTGGTGTGGGTGTGTGTGCATGGGAGAGAGGGAGACAGAGAGATGGAGAGAGAGTGGGTGGTGGTTGAAAATAACAGAGGAACCTTAAGGCGCCTAATTATTCAGAAAGGTTAAAGGTGATGACCTTGACATTTTGGAAGTTCAAAGGCAGACACTTATGTTTTTCTTGCTAAAGAGTTTCAATTTTTATTTTTACTGATCCTTCCCTGCGATTTCATCGTTGGGGAGGGGGGGTGTTAATCTGGGGGCTTTTTTGACTTATTCGCCTACTTTTGCCTTTACTGGAAGCCAAGTGTAATGAGACCCACTCGGTTCCATTCAAAAAAGGCAAATTCTTTTCTCACTCCTTTCCTTTATTGCACATTGCGGAAATCTCTTTTTCCCCCACCAGAAGGTGTATAATATAACCCAATTAAGCTGTTTAGATCCTCGGCTTTTATGGTGTTGTCTAGACAGTTCAAGGTTTTGTAAACAGCTTAGCCAGGTCACGCAACATAAAGTGAGGAGAGACCTCCACCAAACCCTTTTACTTTAAACATAAAGACGAGGCCAGCTCTTTTTTAGGGAGCTAGTCTCATTTTTGCCGTTAAAAAATAGGACACTCGCATCGACTGGGTAAAAACGGTCTTTCAAATATTTACTCTCGTTTCCCTGAACTTTAAGAAAAGAACAGCTACAAATGTTTCTGGCTGCCTGTGGCTGGAAATGCTCAGGGTCCTCGTGCTGACCTAACCCTCACTAACAAGGAAGCCTTCGTCTGAGCTTTGGGTCCTGGGCTTTTCAGAAGTCTGACCTGTTAAAAAGGCTTTTTTCGTTATTTATAGGAATTATGGCACCATCAGAAGTGATGGCCTGCAGACAGCCATGTTTGATCTGCCTTCCAGTTCAGGGCTATCCCTGAGGGCTACACATAGCTAAAAACACAAGAGTCAGAGCTCCAAACTAAGGTCAATTTTAAATCCGTTGAAAATAATTTGACTTGGCTTCCTCCATTTTTATTTAATGGAACTTGTCTCTAGCCCGGTGAACGCTATGATCCTTCAGAGACTGAAATCCATACAGTGCACGGAAGATGTAACCTGAACTTTACTAGAAACCCTTTATTCACATGAAAAAGACAGTGGCTCATGCGTTTATATGACAATAGAAACATATATATATATATATTTATATAGATTTATATCGAATGTACATTTACCGTCTTTTAAATAAACTGCATTCATTTAAAGGGAGAAAAGGGTTATCCTAGCTGAAACCAACAACAGAAAATATCCCCAAACTCACTTGTTTTTTAAAGGAAAAACTACCAGACACACTGCAGGTCCATTGGTGTCACTCACTATGAGAAAGAGAGAGAGACAGAGAGAGAAAGGGGGAGGGGGGAAGAGAGACACGGAGAGAGAGGCAGAGGAAGGAAAAAATACACCTTTGGCGATCAACATTTTAGAATGGACTTTTTGGATTTACCCTAGGTTCCCCTTAGCAGGATTGTGCTCCGCCAAGCCCCCGAAATCTCCAGTGGACATGATTGTTGGAAGGAACCAGAGTTGAACATGAAAAGGAAACTTTGAGTTCCGCAGGGTGGATGTGTCATGGAAACCCATTTACTTTTGCGTTCAGATGGCAGCTTGGCTAGAGAGGCAGAGGTTTTCTTTTCTTGTTATTTTTCTCTCTTTTTCCCCCCTTTCTGATTTCTTTTAAAACAAGGGATTCCCAGTGAAATATTGGAGTCGATCTCTGTTCAGTTTCTTTTCTTTCATCCTTCGATTCTGGAACCAGATTTTGACTTGCCGGTCGGTGAGGTTCAGCATTCTGGACAGCTGCAGTCTCTTCTCTTTGTTTATGTACACGTTGAAGAAAAACTCCCGTTCCAGTTCTCGTATCTGGTATTTGGTATAGGGGCACCTCTTTTTCCTTGAGCGCTGAGGAACTGCTGGAATTCAGGAGAGAAGAAAGTGAGTGGTGCTGGTCTAGGAGACACTTTAAGCTCACAACAGGCTAGAGTCTGTGACAGTAACCCACCGCCTACAGAGCAGCACCCTAGCAGCCCAGAAAATATTCAGGGAGCCTGGATTCTCTGGGTGACTTTGCCAAACGGGAAAATACCCAGTGCTCTTTCTTGAGAAGAGCCCGTTCGAGCAGTTCCGGGGGATTCTCTAAAGTGGGCTGGAAATAGTCCAGGTTTCCCCGACTGCTGCCCCCAAGAAAGGAAGACACTGCACTCTACCACGAAGGAGCACGCGCTGGGAAATCTCTCTGGCCCCCCTCCCCCCAAAAAATCAAGGATTTAACAACAATTAATATCCTCCTCCAAGAATACCTTAAGCCCACCTAAATTGGTTTCCTATCGTAAACACGCTTTACAACGAGCAAGGAAATCTTATAGGATATATAAAATCCTTTGGATGCTTATAAAATGGCACATAAAATGCGGCTTGACAAAGTGCTGGCCCTGCGCTCTTGCCCCCAGCTTCCTCCTGGTACCTACCTGAACTGTTGCTCTTCTCTGCAACAGCCTCGCCAGAAGGGGACTCGACGCTGTTTGCTGGTGTCACTTTCTTCTCCTGGCTGGAAGGTGTTTTACTGCAAGTGCTGCTCTGAGCCTTCAGGTCGCTCTTGTCGCCGTCCCCCTCGGGCTCGGACTGGGGCTGGTACGGAGGGCCAGGGGCCGGCTCGTAAAACTGGTCAAAGCCTTGCGGAAGGATCCCGTTCCTCCCCACCGAGCTGTAGAAGTTGGAGGCAGCGCCGGAGGGTCCGTGGTGATTGCACACAGGGTCCGTTTTGAATAACATTTCCGTCCTCCTGTTCGCGGGCTGCAGAAAGTCTCTGTGCATCACCTCCTCGGCGGAGTAATAGGGAGCATAACTGCCCCTGTACTGCCATTTGCTGCGGTCTAATCCGTATTCCCTGAATGCCATTTCCCGCACAGGTTGCACATGAGGTAAATTAGAAGAATAAGGGAAAGTCATTTGACAGGAAGACGACTGCGACAAGAACGAGGGCTTCGTGGAGAAATCCGAAGGGGAGACGTAATAAGCACACCCCGGCAGATACATATTGGCTGCACTGTGGCTGCAGTCCTCAAACTCGGTCATGTCTCCCCGTTGGCGGTGGCAGGCGACCGGGAGACTTCAGTGCATTGAACAAGATCCATCTATTGCACAAGAGGCTTTGGACAGGATCAACTAAGAAAAAATCCCCACCGTGTGCTGACGTGCAATTCATCTTGATTGATTCTAGTGGTAATTATGTCACGTGACGCAATGTAGAAATGTCCTTATATCTATATCAGCCCTTCGGAAAGCCTCCCAAGATCTCTGCAAAGAGCCTCCCGGCACCGAGAGATGAGCCAAGCGCTCGCACCGACCTCCCGGGGGGCTTCCCCCCATTCCAGCCCGGGCGGGCGACACAGGCGTAGGTAGAGCAGCCCGTCACCTGGGAGGCA